CAGAACACGTGTCCAGCACCACATTACTCACTGTTATGTTGTGGCTGGGGAAGGGGAAGCGAAGGGAAAATAAATATGCCTAATGTGACAGCTCAAACTTTGCTCCTTGCTATCAACAACACCATCAACTGGACTCTAATCTCAGAAAACAGATTGTTATTAGCCACGGCCCTCTGGCAAACATTAGCAGTGTCCACAGTCACATTTTCCCTGAGGAAATATTCTCTTTGACGTCCAAAGATGTTCTCAAGTGCTCCTATAAAAACAGTTCTGGAGTATCTTTTGGCTCTGGCAACTCATGGTACAGCACTCACCAAAATTTTACTTTTCAGATCTAGGGGTGGTGGCATTGTTTCTGTAGGGCTTGGTTGATTCACTCCTATCTTACTGCATGAAAAAAATTCTCAGGATTCCAACAGCCATTAATCCAGCCCCAAAATTCTACTTTCCTTGTGATCCTTAGAGCTGTCACCATGACTTCTGCTAGAATGCAATCTTTTTTACTAGATTTATAAAGCCTGCTTACATGCAGTAATGTAAACAAGATACTTTTACAACCAAAGTGACTTGCCTTCAGATAGTTTTGAGAGGTTTTTATTCTTGGTTTTTTGGTTGACCCTGGTAGCAAAATACAACTCACAACCAAATATGATATTCAGGCACCAGGCTTTTAATTTGTGAGTAGGAGTCAAATCTCTACACTTTAGTTATGATGGCTTCATCTTTTTGCTTTTAAATAAAATAAAACAGCACCACATCAGGCCTTGAAACAAACCCAGGAGAGGAACTGGTTCCATCCTGGCAAGCCACACTGACACAGACAGACAAGCCCACAAGGAGCACTGGATATTCAGAATATTCAGAGATGAAATGTTACTTCCCATCTCCCAACAGTATTTTAAAAAATAATGGGTTTCAGTTCAGACACTGCCCTGAAGCATGTGCCTTTTATCACAGCTTGCCTGTGTGTGTTCCTGGTAAGTTGTCAGCCTATCTCTGTGTTTTACATCCCTCCCACTCTGATGTGAGGCATGCCCTGCAAACACTCAGCCATATGGAAAGGACAGTACTGGGCTTAGAGGCTAAATGAGCCCGTCACCACTTCCAGCATTTATCACCATGTTAAAAGATGGTTACAATAACTCCTCCAGAAGACTCCATAAATTATTAACATTAGAAGTTTAATCCCAAACTACATATTTAATAAGGGGAAAGTCCAACAACTTGCTTCTGGAATACAGACAAGGAAACCAGCTCCTACTTCAAGTAGTTATGAACATCTCATCTCCAGAGATGAAAATATGCTTGTTTGCAACACACATGCATGAAGAAAAGGATGGATGGGATGCATCAACTGTCTTTTTTGAGACAAAGATATTGTGCATTCTTTTTCTCCACACTTCATGCTCCTCCCAAAGCAGACACCTAGAGTGTATTTTTAATTGCGCTGTCCCATATTCCTCATACCACCCAACATGTTGTATCTTGGTCTCATGTGCCAGTCTCTTCACATCCCACCTTACCATTTCTATCCAACTCATTACTTACTCCCTCTCCTGCTACAGACTTGAGCCTATCCCCAACGGGTTGGCAAGTTAAATCTCATCTGTACCTTCCACTTTTGGTGCCAACTCATTTGGGAGCTATGAGTTTGGGGTTCTTTTTTCATATTTCAGGAAAGAGATGAATGTTCTGTATATTCACTCAACTTCAAAGGCATCAGGAAAAGCCTGATGAAACTCAGTAAGTGGTAGTAAAAGTCAACAGGGCAAATTCTCTGAACTGGTTTTGGCTGGCAGGAGAGAGGACCTTGAAACCTGCTTCTGTCAGCTGCTCTCCACCCCTAACACACAGGGTCAAGCAACTCTGATGCAGCAGATGTTCCAGAGTGAACACAGCTCCTGGACAACCAGACTTCAGTACATGTGCAGTAATTACTTACATTCAAGCTTTACATGTGAAAAAAGAAAAAAAAAAAAGCTGACAATGGGAAACCCACAGATCCATACTTTGACCCCCATCCCCTCCCAACAGCAGGTGAGATCCAAATCCAGCTAAGACCCCTGAATTTCTTCAAAGTCTTTGCTGCTCAGTACTCATAAATTCCTATTAAGTATTTGCAAGAGCATGCTGCTATCTGCATGCCTGCAGGCAAGGTGCAAATGGGAGACTCCTGGAGTTCTGTGACTTTGAGTTTGCTATCATCACTTGGCCTTCTCCCCTCTTCTTCAAAGCATTCAGCATGCACAAAAATGGCACTTTTCAGTCTGGCCACACTTACCAGTATGATGGAGATGTGATTTTTCCACTCCTGACCTTGAAGTGGTCAGCAAAGCCAGATGTTTTACATATGATACAGGCTGTCAGCTCTTAAATCTGCAAATGTCTTTTCTGAGAAACACCCAAGAGAAACACTTCATTTTCCCTGGTGCAGTGTTTAATTTACTATGCAAAACAACCCCCCTGCATATTGTGCTCAACCATGTGATCATTTAAAGAACAAAACAGAACCCAAATCAGGTCTACAGAGGATGGTTGCAAGAAAGGCTTCTTCCTTGTTCAATGTAAAACTAGGATGGGGAAGAGGTACTTTCAGGAGAACTTGTAAGAAGTTATACAGCATTGAACATGGAAAAAGCTTCAAAGCACTCTGCCATCAGCTCAGTGCTGCTACATTTGTGTTTCAACCTAAGAAAATGCCAAGAACCATCACCTTAGAGCAGAAAGGTGCATGACTGGCACCCACGTGCCATGAAAGGTGCACTAATGCTGGAGACTCCTCTGAAGATGCAGGTAACTCTTTCTGAACCAGCTGAAGACAGACAAGCAGGTAGAGTGATGTCAGAAGCCCAGCCAGGCAGCTCCTTCCTTGATAACCACACAGCCAATACAAAGCTCACCAAAAGAGGAGGAATAGTGTGTGCTATCTTTTACAGTTCCGCACCTGCAGCCTCTACCATTCTTCTGTCCTCTCTCAAGGGCCTATAATTCATTGGGAGCCATGTGAAACTGAAGACATCCCATTAAACCTTACACATCCTGTTTGAATGTGACTCATTCTGTACCTCACAAACCTGTCAAAAACGGGGAAAAAACTAGAGCTGACTCTACCTCATAATCACTCTTCAGAAAGCCTAAAAAGGGTTCTGTTTTTGAGGGAGGAAATCATCAGGAAAATGGTGACCACACCCAGGTAACTGTAGGCAGTCTAAAGGAAAAAAGTCCCAAATCCTTCTCCAGAGCAGAAACAGCTCTGATTAAAGAAAAAAAAAAAAACCAACCAAACCAAACCACACCACCAAAAAAAAAAAAACCCACCAAAAACAAAACAACAAAAAAATCCCAAAGCAAACAAAAATCCCAACCAAACACCCACAACAAAACAACCAAAATTCCACATACCCCCTTTATCAGGAGGCATTCATAACTTAGTTGCTACAGAGTAGTTTTAAAAGTTAAAAAGATCACAAATAACCACATAGTTTTCAAGAACCATTATACATCATCTTTTTTAATTAGATTAGCTTTACAAGCAACTTGAGGAGATGTTTCATAATGAACACTGCTTTTGAAATTACACAACTTTATAGGCAACCTGTAAATGAATCCTGAATTTCTTTGCCTGCTATAGATAAAGGTCTCATATTTCACAGCCAGCTAACATCATGAATAAAAATAGCATTATGAAGCTTTATTTTTAACCAGGACTAGACACATACAGATCATAAGACAGTTTAAAAAATAGTTTTAAAACAAGGACCTGCTTGGTGATGCTCGAGACTGAATATTCAACCGACATGAAATGAACAGTTTCTAAAGGACATGGAAGAAATGGCTGACCTGATTTGTTGACCCTGTTGTAATGACTTACATGGAGTGAAAAATTAAGCACTTTTTAAACCTGTCTGGCAAGCACAAACCTACAGTGTGATCAGAATTTGATACGCTGTTTGACTGCAGCGGTTTGAATTACAGAGGGACTGAAATGAGTTTAAAGGCTTATGCTTACATTTCTAAAACAAAACCAAACTTCTGTTAAAGGAGTACTAATGAAGATGAAGTAGAAGAGGTGACTTTTTGCTTGTTTCACTGGTAGCCTAAAAGCACTGCAGACCAGACAGCAATGAAGATTTGCACTCCTTGGCCAGGTTGGCAGAGGCACTTACAGTAAAGGTATCCTGTCTGTTTCTCTGGGAAGAAGAGAGGAAAGAGGAAGAGAACTGTACAGGGCAAGAACTTACTTAAAAAAGGAAAAGTGAAATCAAAACAAAGCTGGGATTTCTGTTGGTTCTCCTAAATGATATACCAATACTGAATTTTTCTCCCCTTCTGTCAGTTTGTTACTAAACAATTAGCTTTTTCATGTTTTACATGAACAATAGTAATGTTTTTAATAAAAAATTACTGAGCTTTCCATAGAAAGGGTCTTTAATTGAATACAAACTATACAGATGCTAAAATTGTCACAAGTTGTAATATATACAGAAATATTTCTGTACACTCACATTGTTTTGGCTAAGTAAGGAAATAAGGGACAGATAGAAAACTGCAGTGGGTAAGGTGAACAACCCCCAAACTCCTGTAAATATGAATGCTGTCTTCGATAAGTTTGCTTTTGTTTTCTCAAGCTTTTAAAGCTCAGGGAAAAAAAAAGGAAAGAAGAAGAAGAAAAAAAGTCTGTGTCCAAAACATCCATTTCTTAAAAATAAGAATATCACAGTTTCTGCACATCTCACTTTTATTCTGTGATATCCCATCTTCTGGATAAAATAAAAACAATGTAAAAGAAAGCAAATGTTTTCTTACTAAATATATACCTCAGTATTGATCAAAAGGCAGTGCCTTTTTGGGGAAATCCTTCAGCAACAGTGAAAATTTATAAAGATGTATTATTGCACAAGGAGCTTACAGAGTGATGCACTTCAGCTTCAGTGCGCTGACCACCTCCTTGATACTATATAACAGATCAAGGTGTCAACTTACAGACTGCATGGGACACCAACATTGGAAAAGGAAATTTACAAAAGTGAATTTTAGATATTCTATTAACTTATATACAAAGGAAAGGGGGGTGGCAAGTATCTTTTATAAAACGGAGAAAGCTCAAAAATTTCTGTCAAGTAAGTAAGGAGGTTCTGGGTACCTCTAATAGCCTAGGAAAGCCCTTGTATATTCTTGTAACTCGATGTATTTACCAGGTCCCCAAAGCCAATGACAGCAACTGATAGTGTCACGTTCACTTAGTGCCAGTCACTTCAAAAATAAAAAAACAACCAAACATCCCCCCTCCAAAAATAAAAAAAAAAAAAGAAACCAAAGAGAAGAGAGACAGAAACTTCCCCTCTGTGTATTCAACATACAAAACCACAAACTGAATGTTACTAATAGCAAGATACTGATTTGCTTTTGTTAATAAGGTTCAAGAGAACATAGTCAAAAAAAAAAAAAAACCAATACAGCAGCAATCTTTAAAAGTTAAGATTAGTGTGAGATATGATACAAAACAATCAGATTTTTAGCTGGTAATTAAAGTGCTCCTTTTCTGAATTAAGTTGTAAAAAAAAATTAAAGTGATTATCAGTTACTGGCAACCCTTACATTAAATTAGGTCTTTCATGGCAGAGGAGAACAGTATGAACAGTTTTACAAAAATAGATCCATGTTATATTGGAGAATACTGTAATTTTTTTCCTTTTTATCAGTTTTTCATTTTTTTTAAGACTCAATTTTGATAAACTGTACCTGGTCATACAAAAATTACCCAAAATTCAAACTTTTACCATATAAAAAAAGGGAGAGATGAAATGGATTCAGCTGGATGACAGGTCTGGCAAAATATAAGGATGGACAAATTCTATGTAGGGCACTTATTTATGTCCAGATGCATATGGTGTTTCTTACTGATTGCTTATCTTCTTCACATAAGCAGTCACAGGCCTGGAGTCACAATCACATAGTACAATGCTTCAGCAGTCAAAGAACCTTCTTTTTGATGCAACATTGAAACACTGTTTGCTTCCGTATTAAGATGTTGGTTTGTTGTTGATTTTCCTTTATCTTGTTATTCACATTCAAAAGTTAATAGATAGCATCAAGATTTATCAGGGCGAACAGCAAGGGGAGTTGCTAAACCAAAGGCTTATAAAACATCTTTCCCAACTGAGTCAGAAGGTTTATTAAGTTCAACCCTCACACCTTTTTCACCTGCAGAAATATGAAAAGGAAAATGGTATTTTTCAGTATTTATCCAAGTACAGTCTAACAGTCTACATCACTTTCCAAAATAAAGTTTTACTATCAAAACACAATATCCCATAAGCAAGAAAAACTCACACACATTCTGCATGGCTTTTGTTAGACTGACATTTATCCAAAAAATGAACAGGTTTCTATGTTATGACATTTCATTCTATAATTTCACATATTATTGTCAGTAGAAAATAAATTGCATCTTGCACAATTCTTGCTGCAGATACAGAGCAAAGAATGCAATTTGAATTGCAACTGGAAACCGAAACCACAACAATATGGTAATTTAAACCCATTACAGAGAAAACCAATACTGAAGGAGGAAGAATTTCTTTATAGAAGGGGTGATTAAACATTGGAATGAGCTGCACAGGCAGGCAGTGGAGTCACCACCTCTGGCAGCACCATCTCAGTGCCACTGTCCAGTTCATAGGTGGTGTTCAGTCAGAGGTTGGATCTGATGACCTCAGAGGGCCTTTCCAACTTAAGTGGTTCTGTGATTCTGTGAAATTTAAACAACCCAGCCTTCCTTCCTTAAGTGCCTGCAATCTGGGGACCCTGGACAGGGAGGTGGGGAAGAAGGGGGAGCACCTTCCCTTCAGGCTTGAGCCCTCCCCCAACCATCTCTGTGCAGTCCCTTGCAAAGGGCAGCAACTGAAGCTGTGCAGAGGCTACAGCTCTGATCCAGCAAGGCTGACCCCAGGAGCTGCAGAGCTGCACACTTGTGACATGAAGGCTGGCTAAGAGACAGACAGGCTTCCCATGCAGGCCAGGCAGGCTGCCTGCCCGGGAAGTCACCTGTGCCTTGCCAGGCATGTGCCACCAAGCCCTGGGACAGCCTGGCCGGCTGGAGCTGAGGGGCTCCCTTGGAAAGCCAGGCAGGAGCTGCGCTGCTCTTGCCACTCCCAAAATGCACGGTCACTGAGAGCACCAAGAGAGACTTGGCTGAACTGTACACGGCTCTGGGGCTGCTTGGGAGCTCCAGACAGCAATAAATGGAAGTCTCAGCTGGAAATGACTGGCACACGTTTTCAACATCATTGGTTTCAGAGCTCTTGCCAAAGCCATGTTCGTGTGTGTGTGCACTTGCTGTACACCTGATTTTGGGTTATTTTTAAGCTATTGTAATGAACACAAAATTGTGATGGCAATTACAAGCATGACAGAAGTCCTAGGCCATTTCTCCTTATAATACTAATTTGAACAGGAAAATTAGATCAACTTCCTCTTGGGGGAGAAGCCAGAGAAGGAAAACAGATGCTAGATAGGTGAAATTGGAAATGAAGGAAGTAAGTCCATTCTTTGAATACAGATATTAATTTTAGGCTTCTGTTTTTCCAATACAAAAATTCTAGTCAAGCAAAGTTGCATTCACTTGTTGAATCCCTACATTCGATCAAAACTATCTCCAGAGCTCTCAGTTCTGCAGGGCCTTACAGTCTCTGGTGTATCTATCCTCCACATATATTAGGGAGACAAGAGTAGGGAAAAACTGTATCCCCCTTGTAAAAATACTGAGCAGCCTCAGAGGAAGTATAAGCAGGACAGGCACTGACCTGGATTTCATGAATCACTGCCCAGGAGTTGAATCCCTGGGTCACCTTTCCTGTAAAACCTAACTCAAGTTATGCCACTTTCTCTCTCTATTTGTGCAGAGGGTGGGCCAAGGAGATGAGGCTACATTTAACTACTCTTCCACAAAAAAGTAACCATGATATTAAGAAGAGCTTACCTGTTAGATATTTCACTTTAGCTCGTGCTCTTTCATCTGCATCAAAATACCACACTGTTATTGCGTACCTAAGGAAAGAGAAGAAAAAAGAACTCCTGAATTATGAAGCAAAATACCACTGAAACACTTGACATGAAACACAACCTAAATTAGATGATACTTCCACAGTCTGACAGAGCAAAGTTTTCATAAACAAGCAGTGGGTTTGGAGTTCTTTTCCTACTAGTAGGTATTATCTGAAAAGTCATTGAAAGGGTGACACTGATGCTCTAAGTTTACACTCTTTTCCCCAATGCTATTTATAGTTCTTGTCCAGAATAAAGTCTCTGCCCACATCACCTTGCCCTGTGACCTCATCTTTTTACTAGGTCAAGTTCATCACTGAGTCACAGTGCAGTATCATTTTTTTTGGATATTTGCCACAAGGCACAATTAACTACCCCTTCTTACACGGCTCCTCTGGTTTTGCACTGCCCGTAGAGGTTTTCAATACAAAATGCCATCTATTGAGAAAAGACTTTAAGGAGCTTTAGTAAATGGCATTTCACCACGACTCTTCTGGGAGTAGAGAGGGGGAGGGGAAAGCGGCACAGCTTCTGGAAAAGCTGCAAGAGGATATGCTTCAAGTTTCAAGTTACTTCTTGCAAACGCAGCTTGTTATCTCACAGCTCCAGTCAATGTTCAGTGCACTGGCCATCCAAACATGCTAAAGCATGGGCAACAGGAAGTCTGAATCAAATGATTTACCTATTGCCACTATCTGGAAATGTCACTTATCATGGGGGATAGGGGGCCAGTCAATGTGGGTACCTTTAGCATCAACCACTGCCCTGCACAGAGGGACAAAACAGAGATCAAGCTCCCCCTGTGCTTCAGATTGGGAACAGCTCCTTTAATATGCCACAAAAATATTTGTATATTGATGGTTGCTTCTGTTCCACAGCCCTCACCTAATTCCCAAATTAGATATGGTAGCTTTGCTTGAAAATTATTATTTTCTGACAGCTCCCTGCCAACAAGAGGAAACACTAAACCGAAGCACCCAGTCAATCTTCCAGTAACACAGTAGGGTGGTAAGGACAAAGGCAAGTCAGAGGGGTATAAAGCCACTACGGAGAAATAATGAAGATGGCACCCTTTGGCTATGTTGGGGCCTGCTTATGGCTCTGTGTGCTCCCACAGAGTTCTGCCAAGCACATGCTCAGAAACTTCCCACCTACACACTCAGGAGGTTTTCTCCAAAATAAGAGATCAGGCAACATACAAACTCAACAACACAGTGGAAGCCTAATCACCCATTAGCAGAAATACTCTCCTATATGTCAGGAGTAACATCTCCCAGTGTCCCTAATTTCTCATTTCTGGCTAAGAGAGGCACCATGCAGTAGAGTTCATCACTCCTACCTTGTAGCAAATGCTGGCTGTACTTCATGAGGGTTGCGGCGATCAGACCAGAAGAAAAGCAGTCTATCAAATTTGGGTTCAATATCAGCAAATTGGGCTTTGCCTTCTGGAAATATCCGAAGGATGCCTCCACTTACCTGCAAATGAAATATTTGCAAACAGTACTTGAGAGCCATGTATCATTGTATTTAATAATTCTAAATATCACATTTGAAAATATCCCAGACACTTGGAACTGAAACAAAAGCCTTTATAATGTGCTATAGATATTATGAATCTATAGCTTTTCATTTAACAAATTGTTTAACACATTTTTCACTGTGATTTCAGAATGCTACATCTTTTCATGTTTAAGTAAAAGCTGTGAGTTAGAGGGGGGGGTTGATGCATTACTATTAGCAAAACAAAAATGGACAAGGCTGACTACTATTACACAGGTGGCTAAAAACACCCCAATATAGATGGGAGGAGCATTTTACTTCACATCTGAGTTTCACCTTTCCCCATTAAAGAGATTATTTCTTTTAACTGCAGCACAAGTTTATGTGTAATTAAAATAAGGAAAGAGTAGGAGACTTCAAACTAAAGGTTGAATCTGTACTACTCATAGTCAATTTAGATCTCTTTCATGTTTTGAAAACAGTTGACCCTACCTATATATGCCTAGAAGTAAGCACAAGTAGGAGGGGTTAATTATATTTAAGTTAATTTAAATTATATTTAAATTAACTTCTTCCTACTGATGGTGTTGATGTTTGTTAAATCTAACTACAGATGGCCACCACAGACCTTCATGTCATAACAGACATAACAATGCAAGTACTAACAAGGCAATTTGATATAAATGATGGGGCATCTGTGATCTAAGTCAGCAAACAAGTGACAATTTAGACCCATTTCTTCTCCTAAAAAAGTTTGAGATTCTTTTTTCAATAAACAATATATTGGTAGTATATTAATTCGTAATTTGAAATAGATTTTGCAGGAAATGAATGCCATTGTTCATCAATTAAATACCCAGCTTGTAAATTTCTCACAATGATTGTGAAAATGCAATTTGCTTGACTTCTACACTCTGGCACTTATTCTCTTGTTTTTTTCCCAAGAGAGAAACCATAAATCAACTAAAAATCCCTAAAAGCTGCACTTTAAGATATTTAGTACAATCAGTCCATTTACATGCAAAGATGCTATTATGGCAAAAAAAAATAATTTCTACTTGTAAGATTCAATTTGACATGTCAAAGAGCACATCAGAAACAGAAAGCTTAAAGTGCATTCATCTGACTCAGCTTTCTGATCTATTAGTTTTATGCAAGTATGTTATTAGGGAAAAAAGAAAAATAAGAACTCTCATCTGCAATTTGTGTTATCCATATCTGGTGCACACTATGCACAGAATCTGACTGCTCCCATGTACTCTTCCACATGCTACTCTCTTAGCATGATGAGGCATCAGTAGTTTTATCCTGTTTTTTTCCCCATACACTATGAGAATAAACCTGTCCATCATTAATGGCAGAGAAATCAAAGGATTAGCAAAGCTGTCTTTGCATTACTCTTTCATGGTCTCAATACTGCCATTTAGCTACATCTGTCCTTCAAATCTACCTAGTCCCATTGAATCACTAGGAAAATCCTTATTAAAAATTCACTTTACTACTAGCCACTACTTGAACTGTATAAATCTGTTCTACACCCTGTACCTACAGTGATACAAGACTTGTGCTGCTCTGAACTCTACAGATGTAGCAATGACTGTAACACTTGGCTTATTTGAAAATGCTCCCAAGCTATAGCATCTTTCTTTTTAGAACCATACTCAAATAAGCAATCTACTTCCACAAAAAGCAAACAAGATTCAACAGGAATATAAGTAAAATTTAAAAAAAAGAATGTATGAAATTGCCTTTAATTTCTCTTTGTGTATAGGGGGGCATCTACCACTTTCCTCCATTCTTACTGTCAAGAAGATCCTGCTGACATCATGCAAAACCTTGCAAATAAATGCTTCACCTCTATCTGCTCTCACTAACAACAGAATTAGGGAGGCAAAGGACAACCACAGTTAACACAATGTAAAATCACAACTAAGGCACAGAAATAAGGACATGAACAAAAACCTCAAGCAAAGGTGCAGTAACAAGTATATTTATATACATACATATATATGGAGGTAAAAAACATTTTAGAAAGAAATTATTGCATACCTTGGCATCCCAGTCCTTATTAAGATAGTATATACATGTAACACATCTTCCATCTCCATTTGGATTATCAACGTGGAGCACATAACCTGTTCCATTGCCTGGATAACAAGCCACCATAGCCTGGAGTCAAAGAATCAAATACAAGAATTACTTTTATCTCTGTGTGTGGGAAAAGTCTACATTTTATCTACATTAATTCTTAAGTAATTAATACATAAGCAATAGAAAAATTAAACCAGAAATAACAGTCAAAGAAATTTTTAGAATTTTTAGCTGTGCTTTCTTTCTAGTTAAAAACTGGTTTAGAACTCAAACAGAAGTTGACAACAAAGGCATGACAGACACTGAGAGGAACACTTAATTAAGGCATGGAAGGTGGGGCTACTCTCATGTTGTGACTAATCACTCAGACCTCCCTCCCCTGAACGACATGGAAGAGAGGAAGAATGTATTGCGTGTAATTTAATAGCTTCTCCTTGTGATAAGAAATCTTCCAGGCTCAAGTTCAGACAGCTATCTTTTCATCTTTTTTTTTTCCCCCTGTGTTTCCAATGCAAAGAATTCCTTCTTAAAAAGTGCTGTCAAACTTCTATTTTTAGGAGACTTTTAGACAAAACCAGTAGCCCACGTTACTCGATCACTCCAAGAGCATTCTTGGGCTTGTGTTTTGTCCTGTACATAGGAGGTCTTTGAACCTTTGTTGAAACAAACCTACACGTACAACAAAAACATCCTTTTCAGACCAGAAGTGAGAAATGGAAAACAGACACCGAGCAGCAATCTGCAATAACCTTCTGACATCAAACGACTCCCAGTACAGCAGTGCATTAAACTTCCCATGCTGCACTTTGCTCAGCTGACTTGAAAGCCCCCTGGAAGGCGATTTCTGACTCTTCAGACACACGGATGTGCGTGTGAAACAAAGTGGCCCTTGCTCCCAGATGGCCTGATTAGCTTGATTAGCTATCAGAGCACGTGGCTGGTTCGTTGCACAGCACATCTCTGTATCTTTATGCCTTTGCTAGAAATAATAATTATTTCACTTTTTTGAAAGAGATCAGAACAAAGTTTTCCAAGTCAAGTCACTCACTGTCACCACAGTACTCACAGTGACAATATCCTACCGGCAAGAAATCGCAGCATGAATTAAAAAATTTTAAAAAACCAAAAGGTGAATGTCTACCAGTAAACCAACACACTGCTAATCTCAATGACTGTCTGCTGTATGAAAAAAAGTAGAAAAAACTTGTATAAACAAACATTCCTATCTAGATTTAGCCTGGTTAAGTTAGAACTGTAAGTCAGAGCTCTGCACTGCAAACCCTTTCACCTCTAATGTAATACATAAAAAATATTTTCCCAATAAAGTGATTTTTTTGCTTTATACCAGTAATTTTAAATTCCTCCCCCTCCTTTCATATGCTACAAATAAAGCTTTCCACAGTTTGTATTACTTGCAAGTGTTGAGGAATACATTCAGGGCAGGTAACTGGATAAACTGTGCTTTGTGCAAACTGAGAAACAGTTTAAAGTACTTGCAGTTCAATCCATAAAATATTTGCATATCACATGTCAGCAGAATGGATTTTGCTATAGCAGCAGCCTTTTAAAAATCTTTATTTCCATATATACTCTACTAATGGAAACAACAATTTTTAGTAGCTATGTCTAGGCAGAAATCAGAACACACTACTTGCCAAGTTGTAAGCCTGTGACTTTAAAGAATCCTAAAAATAAAGCCAAACTTCATTCACATCATTTGGAAGTGATTACACTGCATGAAAAGTACTTAGAAATACAAAATCCAAATATATTTCTAATTTTCATTAGGCACTTCAGTTTCCTAGCCTCTTTACTGTAATCATAATGCCTTTATGATTACTGGCCTCATGTTATGAAAATGTTACACATATCAAGAATGTGATCTAATATTTGGCAAAGTTGTGATTTATCAGTTTTGCTTCAGGAAGATAAACCCACAGAAATCAAAACAGTGAGTTAAAGATACCAAATAATGTAATAGGGTTCTGTAATTTCCTTTCTTTGGAGAAAAAAAAAAAAAAAAAAAAAAGGAAGAAAACAAAAGCAAAGCTGGGCTGGAAGAAGAAGATATTTGGTTTTCACTGAAAGCCAACAGCGTTGATAAAAAAGTCCCATGTACCGCATCAACCACAGCAAGCTCTCATGGAGCACGAACAGTGCTGAAAGCAGATCCAGGTCCAACTCTGGAACAGTATTCCTAACAGCAGGAAAGTTTTAATTTAAGGAGCTTTGCTGAGACAGATCATGCAAATTAAACCCTGACACTATCTGTTGCTCACTATCTGTGTGAAAACAGCTACTAAAAATCTCTCAGAATGAGGTGAACTTTGAGATCAAGCAGCTGGAGCAATGCAAATTCTCACTTTGATAATGGGGAGTTAGACTCCAAGGCAACAAAGCAATATTTCCCACCACACTGCTGAAGAAAAAGAGGACAAACAACACTTTTTGGAATGTCTGAGAAACACCAGTTGTCACCAATTTCACATAAAGAGCAGCCATATTCATTTCATACAACCATTTGCGTCTAAAATATTTTCAGTCTTTAAAAAGACCTCTTGTTTTTCACTTCAGAGTCTCAAACACCTCCTATATCAACGCCAAGTGACGACAAACAGTTTTGCTGTGATAACTTATCTAATATGTATTTGTTATAACACTGAGAATGATTCAGCCCTCAGCAGCAAATTGGAAAGCAAATAAATTTGCAACTCAGCTGCTGTAGCATAGTATACGTTGCTCCTGCCACGTCCCCAGTTAACCCATGATAAGGAAAGGTACAAAATATAACAATTTATCAGGCATGGCACGTATATTGCTTAGTGCAACTTTATGAAGTGAATTCATGCCAAACTGTCATGTAGTGCAAAATTATCCACATGGACAGGACATAGAAGTGATCCACATAAATAGCAAAGCCTTTGTTGTTTGTTTTAACATTTTACAGTATAAATAAGAAAGCAAAGACATGTATATCATGAACTGAGAAAAATTTGTGTCTGTGGCAATTTTTTTTTCCCAAACACTGTTAGTGGCAGTCAGTACAGACAGGCATTTGAGACCTGAAAGTCTAAGATTTCCTAACATTTTGAGCTATGAGCAATAAAGTTCCTAGCTTTCCAAAACAAAGAGACACCCAGTTGGGTGGCTCATAAGCTGTCCCATAGAAGCAATCAGTTAATTCAACTCAAGGTATTACTTGCATTTTCTTAACAGAAAAGGAGCCTCCTCTTTTGTCCTTTTTGGGCATTACTATTCTTAAGCATTCAGTGAACTTACTTTCTGCAAAAAATGTACTAAAGTCACACTGGATTTGTTCACTCACAGGATCCCTGTGCCAACACTTTTAATATTAACCTTCTTTAACCCAAGAGCATTCCGTTTTAGGCTGAGCACTCGTGTCTAGCACATGAGCGCTGTCCTAAGATACCCCCTGGAATTCATGAGTAATCAAGAAAGCATGAAGGTGCCCTCCCTCACTGATATCTGCCCAGCTTGTGTCTATCAAGTCTGAAGTGCTCACATGCTAAAGCTCCCGCTGATTCCTATTCATATACAGATGTTCTGCGTGCAAATGTTCTAAGTCCAGAAAATAAGGCCATCAGCTCAAAAAGCAACACTAAGTTGTTAACAGAAGAACTAATTGAAACCACAGATTTTCTGCTAAGAATAGGCATCCTTGGTGTGTCAGGCATTATTCTAATTAACAATAAAATGCACAAAGGTAGCATCAGAGGGAATAAACCGTAGTCCATATAGTTTTTTTTTACAATGTAAAGACATCAGCTAAGACAGCCCTGGGAGGAACAGTATAACAGTGCAGCTGAAAACATTGTTTTGTTTGGGACTAATCTCAGCCTCCTTTCACACAAATGTATGACAGCTTCTCCCATCTATAAAGAAGGAAGACTTGAAGGTAAACAAACTGAAGCTTTATCTTCTATCCTCTCCATTCCTCTCACTGCTGGATGCCTAAAAGCTTAGGTATCGCTCCTTTAAAAAAAAGGAAACATCAAAGCCAACTCTTAGGAAAGAGAGGAGAATACCAGTAACATGAGAACACAAAATTCTCTAAGGGGGGAAAACCCCCAAAACCACAAACATGCAATGGAGAGGATGTGTGTTGTATTAATTTATTTAAAAATTATTAAATAGATTAATATTTAAACTTTATTGTTAATCTCATATTAAAGCTGCATCAGTCAAGGAGATGTCACTTTTGCTGTTTGCTGAAGGAACTGCAAATCTCAGTGAGCCAAACAAGATGTCTAAATGCAAGACCAATGACTTCCTACCAAAATTTATCAGATGTGCTCACAAAGACTTCACTGGAAATCCTTGGCATTGGACATCTGACATATTATTCAAAGAAAAAAACTTCACACACCACTACAAAGAAGAACCAAAGAAAAATAGAATTAAATTTAAAAATGACCCAACCCTGTTTGGCTTGTGATGTATTTCTATTCCAAAGATTTATTCAAGCCTGACAAACAAGAGCTGTGAGGAAATATATTTCATTTTAAGCACACATCAGGCTATGATTTTTCACAAGTTGAACAAAGTAACAGTCAAATCAAAAGAACAAAAGACTGGTTTAGTGTCACTCTCTGTGAGGAGGATCAAGATTACTGACTTACATATGCTAGCATGGTACAACTTAGCTTGGATTCATAAGTGTCCTGGTTTAGGGCAAATTTAGGAGAGAAATCTTTCACAAGCATAGACAGAAACTTGCAACTAGAAAGAAAATGGCAACAGGGAGAAACTCCAGTCAGCCTTACCCAAAACAGAGCAATCTAAAAAAAGGTAAAATAAACCTGAGATACAGCTAATCTAAATATTTCTATACTAACTTCCATCTGAGTAAAATTTCCTGCTGTTATTCTCCATGGTTTAGTAAGCAATGCTAGAGAATCAAGTTTTCACACACGTCAACAATGTGAAACTAGAAAACCTGGAGAGAAATATCAGGCCCTGCAAAGATTTTTTTATTAAAAATTCACGCCTTGCAGTCATCATCAACTGCAGAATATGCAAGAGAAAAGTAAACTGCTACTTAGCAGCTTAAAAATTAA